GCCATGGGGGTCAAAGCTCCTCTTCACACAACTGCTCCCCCAGGGAGAACTCAACATCCCCACACCGGGCAGGGTATCAGCTTGAGACTTGTGCTCCAGACCTGGAAAATCGAGGGCTCTGTATAAGTTTTGCTGTAATTTAGTTTCTCACTTGAATCTTGCGTTTGCCTCCAAATATCAGAACTTAGTTTTCTAATATCTGCAATTTCATCTCTAATCGGCAAACCCGTAGATTACATTATGCATAAAGTAATGTTTGATGAATGCCTTTTAATTTCACAAAATGCCTCTTTCTAAAATTATTCCCCTTGACCCAGGAAAAGACAGAATGATGTCACTGGCAACTTGGAGATAAGAATGTTTTGCAAGTTCTATCAATTTTGGCTTTCTACATTCAGGTTAGGAAACACAGATGGACATCGGAGTGATGTCCTCAATTGTTGAGAGGAAGGAGACAATCTAACTGATAACATGTTCAATTGCTCTGTCCCCGTCCTCCCCCAGACCCTCCCCTTAGCAGGGGCAATGGCCGCAGAAGAATCGGTGGTCCCAAAGCAGCGCCCCAAGTGCCTTGCAGTCGGGATCTGGAGGCATCTGCCTTGTAATGTCTGTGCTGCCTGCCGAGGACCAGAGCTGGGCCAATCCAGCAACAGTATCCAGCCAGCCTGGGACCCACGAAAGCTGCACAAGAGCTTCTGGGAGAGCCCCTACCTGTCTGCACACTCTGCCCAGGTGCCAGTCAACTTCTTCATCTGCCTGTTCACAAGGCCCCTCACGGGAGCCTCCTAAGCTCTCCGGGCAGTGGAGATCTCACACCCCCAGATTCTTATGACTCTGTGTCTACCCGTCTGCTTTCCGTGAGGCCCGAGCCTCTGTGGAACCGAGAACACTGCGTGGGCTTCCTTGTGGCTCCCACATGGGTGCACTCAGCTGAAAGTCTTCATTCAGAACAGAGAGCTGGAGGCAGCCACTCGTGTTTCTTGAGAATTTTCTGTGCTACGAACCCTGGCCACTTAGAGCGCTGGCTCCCCACTTGGACACGTGGATTCTACCCTCCAGCACCCTTCCCACAGCCCTGGGAGGAGGAAGGGTACTCCCGTCCACTGTCGCTCAGGGCAGAAGCCAGACTCAGAAATCCAAGCAATGTTGCGTGCCTCATGAGTGCGACGCGACCGCAGCTGGATACAGATCTGGCTAATCTGACCCAGAGCCCTGCCCCTACTGACCCACCAGGGCAAAGAAGAGTGGCTCCAAGTGTATGGACTGAGCCACATGGGAACGGAGAACTCTGAGCACCAGCGATGTGTGCATGGCGCCAGGCGCTTCCAAGACAGCTGCCAATTGAATCCTTGCCACAAACATCCCTTTCGCAGCAGGGAAACCGAGGCCCCAGAAATGCATCCACATGCTCACCATCACTTTGCCAGCGAGGGATGGACCAAGCTGGACCCAGGTCTGCAGGGCTTCCTGCTCTACCCCCTGGCACCAGCTGTGCCCACAGTCCCCCTCCAACCACCCTGTCCTGGGGCTCAGTCCCCAGCCCCAATGCATATGCAGCTGTGGGAGGGCAGTGTGGGACTCTGCAGGCCTCTGCTTCCTTATAAAGAGTAGTCACAGTACCTGTACTTTGTAAGGGTGATTCGCTATGTGGCCACTATTGGTGGCCGTCGGCTGGCCCCACCGGCAGCTCCTCTATCCTTCCAGGGGTCCCATCTGGGGTCCCATCTGGACTGGTGATGTGGCCCCCATGGGGGTCTGTCCCCTTATTTTCAAAGGCCAGTGTCTGCAGGGTAAGGACTCCCTCTCACCCCTAAGGCCAGATGTGGTGACCTCTAGGAGCAGGGTTCACTTTGGCCAGAGCAGACGTCAGCCTGGTCCCGGCCCCATTGACCTACCCGGGTTTTCCCAACAGAATCATCCCAGATCCTCAAACACGTCTTCCTTCCTTCCCTTCTTCAGGGCTGACAATGTGGACTCTGGGATTCTCCACAGGACCATGTGTTACCCGCTAGCATCCTACTGGTCACTAAGCGTGTTTCCCATGACCAAAGAGTGACACACCATGAGAATCTTCTGGGACTAGAACGTGTGCCCTTCCAAGGAGCTGGGGGAAAAGCCCTGGGCCGCCGCCTGCATGTGAACTTGGGTCCTCGCTGGGAGGCGCAGTCTCAGACTGGTCCCTTGATGCTGGTTTTGCCTTGTGGTTAGGAATTACAGCTGCTTTTTGCTTCAATGACACCAAGTGAGTCTGCTGAGGGCAGTTTGGTTAACTGTCAGCGAGAACATTTTTATACTTGTAACCTGTAATACTCCAACAACTGGTTTTTAAGAACTACATATTGAGTATCTGAACTATGAGCCACTCTGCCCCTGCAGCTAAGACTGGTGTGTGCTCCCTGCCTCCTGCCCCATGAATCTCTACATTCCCTCTGTTTTCCATCAAAGAAAGTGTGATTATTTTATAAATTCTAGGGCATCGTTTTATCATATACGATTATGACTGCAAACTCACTTTCCTCCACAATTCAGGAGACACAAGGTATTGTCATGGCCTCTCAAGAATGCCTTGCTTGGTTGAGTTGCTTCCTTGTGTAGACGGTGGTGGGAAGCTCGGGTCTGGCCCTGCCTGGCTCAGAGCAGGGATGTGGACACACAGTGAAACTTTTCATCATGTTCCTTCCTAGGTGGATGAAAATAAAGTGATGTGACTAAACCTATGGCATGGAAATGGAAATTCAGACCTCACATAAATGATGTCAGGTGGCAACAGGCAGAACAAGGAAGCAGGGTGAGGGGTGGCAAGTAAGGGCATGAAGATCTAAAAGAAATGAGGGAGCAAGCCCACAGACATCTGGGCAAAGAATCCTTCAACAGCACATGCAAAGGCCCTGGGGTATACACCTGCTTGCCTAGGAAGTAGAAGAGAGAGCAGTATAAGACAAGTCAGAGAGTGGGGTAGAGGCAGGTCCTGGATGGCCTTGCAGGTCATGGGCAGTGCTTTGGATGGAGAGTAACTGAAGGACTTTGGGCGAAAACTGACCTGTTCTATTTGTCTTAATAAGATCGCTCTGATGTCCTGTGCAGCATGCAGTGGGGGCGGGGAGGGCAGGGCAAGGACGAAATCCAGGAAAACCAGGGAAGAGGATGTCCCAACAGTCCAGGCAATTGACGCCAGTTTCAATCAGCAGTGGAGGTGGTAAGGACATGTTTTGAAAACTGCATTAACAGGATTTATGTCCGGGATGATTCCAAGATTTCTCGGCCCAGGCAAATATCTGACCAGTAGGAGTGTTGGGGTGGTGGGGGACGGCTGGGGGCTGAGGGCAGATTTTGGTCTTGGGCATGCTGGGTTTGAGATTTTCATTGGTAATCCAAGCGGAAAAAGCCAGTTGGGCATTCGTTCTGCAGACATGGGGTGGGAGTGCACCGATGACATTTAGTGGGACTGGAGGAGACACCAGGGGTGCATGGAGACAGGGGTCCCGGGACTGAGCTCGTGTCTCCAGGTGCAGGAGCCAGGCAATTGGACTGCCCAATGAGGGCAGCAGAGAAGGAGCAGTGGTGGTAGGAGGGGACTGGGATCTGCTCGTGGTTGGGATATTAGGGCTGGAGCAGGGGAGATGGGGGAAAAAGGAGCCTGGAAGTCCCAAGCCCATGAGGACATGGCCACATGTATGTTTCAGAAGCACTTCTTCATTGAACGGAGTGTTTATAACAAACCTCTGGTGAGTGGGATGGAGCAGCAAGTTCCACAGGCACCCCAGTCAAAGAGACGCAATTTCCTACTCTTTGTGGTTTGCTGGGCATTTTAACACTGCTAAGTGCTGAATTTTACAAAGTGGATTTTCAGCACCTATCGAATGATCAGAGGATTTTCTCCTTCATCTGTGAAGTGAACACAGTGGAGTGCTCGCTGCTTAGAGGTGGGATGGCCTTATCTGGGGGACACCAGCGTCAGGATTGTCTGAAATGGCCAGTGACTCTCCACCCTTTTCTTCCACTTTGGAGCGATTTCTGTAACATGCCAGGTGTCTGTTCCTCAAGTGTCTGATAAAGGTCAGGCAACACGGGCCTGACTTCTGTGTTTAGGGATAAATATTTGATCATTTTTCAACTTCTCCTACGATGATTGGTCTAGCCCCATTTTCTAGACCTTTGTTTGAACTTTTCTTTAAAAACACCTCTTTGGTTTGCATCATCAAGCTGATATCGTGGCACCATCTCATCAGGGACTTTCAAGCCTGTCCCCCTCCCAGCCCTGCGCCTCACTCCAGAGCCCTCATCTGCATGCCCTTCTGTCCCTCACTCTGGCCTCACCACTCACTGGCTCTCCCACTGGCCTTTTCCATCTTCTTAGCCACCTCCAGCACTGCTTACTTTCTAATGCATTTGCTTTTGGTTTGTTCTGCGTTAATTCGTCCCTTCTTTATTTGGGATTTTTAAAATTGCTCTTCTTTTAGTTTCTTGGACTGAAAACTCAGTTCACGTACATGTGGTCATTATTGTGTTCTAGTGAGTGGGGTCATCACCCCAACTTCCCTCTGAGCGCCCCTTTGGTGGCCTCCTGAACATTTTAATGGGTGCTGTTCTCATTTGCTTTCATTTTTAAATAGTGTGTAATTTCCCTTCTGGTTTCCTTGATGACCTCCAAATTATATATACGAGTTTTTATTTGTGGTATTAATTTCAGGTAGAAATATTTTTAAAGCTTAGCTCTTGTTTTTATTAAACTGCGTTGTGTTCAATGAACAGACTGCAGATCATGTATGCATGTGTTTCTGCACGAATGTGTATATGCACACAGAGTGAACGGACTGCAGATCACGTATGCATGTGTTTCTGCATGAATGTGTATATGCACACACAGTGAACAGACTGCAGATTGGCCGCCTTTGCAATTTCTTAACATTTCCCTTATGGTCAAAAGATGGTCAGTTTTGTGGCTCTTTGTGAATGATAGAATATAAATCATGTATTTGAGCAATCCAAAATGTCCAAAATAAAGTCAAGTTTTTTATTGTTTTATTTGTTCATTTTTGGCTTTTTGACCTGTTGCTTTAAATTAGAACAAAGAAGCTCTATTTTCCAATGACCCCTCAGGCTATGGCCTTGTGGCTGAGGAATGAATGAGCCAAAGGCCCCACCTTGTCCACTGAATGCTTCCCCACTCCCCCTGTTCCAAGTCACCCCAGGAGTCCCTCAAAGCCAGCACAGAGGACAGTGGTCTCAACTCACCTTCTTCTGGGGGGACATCTCTCCTGGGTAAGGTCTGCTGGCCAGGCCCGTTACCCCATCACCCCTGCCCGCCAAGTCCAGTTCCACTTTCTCTGGTGCCAGCAGACAGGGGTTAAAAGTGCACACCCCATGATGCCTGGACACAGGTGCCGGGTGAAGACCATGACCTGCTCCTCCTCCCTGCTGTCTGTCTGCCCCCAGCTCCCAGAATAGCCTGTGGTCAAGGCTGGCCTGTGGTAAACCGCCACAGAAGCCTCCCTGCTGGGTCCTGGATGAGTAATCCTTAGGAAAACATCGAAGGGTCTGAAAGATGTAGGTGCCAGGACTTAGTGGGTGGGTCCCTCTGGGCCTCCCTCCTGGGCCCTTCTGGAATGTTCTCCAGCCATTTGGCCAGGAAAACCAGTCATCTTCCGCTGATAGGCCTGCAGCTCCCAGGACAGTCTTCCTCCAGCAGCTCTGCCTCCTCACCCGGTTATGCAAACCCCAAGTGTCTTCCCCACCCTCGTCCTTGTGGTGCGGGTTCCACGTCACAGATGACCGCTGTCCTGGCTCCTCCATCCCCCACTCAAGAGTCACCATTATGCCTCTCCTACACTTCCGCTCTTCCTGGGCCTCACCTCCGGTCACCTAAAGGAGCCCTGTATTAATGGCAGCTTCTCAGCCAGGCCAGCTGGTGGCTTCGCACACCCAGGGGAGGTTTAGGGTGAGAGGCTCGCCTCCGCTGTGCTTTAACCAGGACTGAGGAGTGACTGGCAGACTTCTCTGCTGCCCTAAACACTTTAGAGCAAGTGGTGCCTCCCCATGCTGCCTGTCCCCAGGGACCCAGCCACAAAGAACCCAAAGACCTTACATCTACATCCGGTACCCAGGCTGCTTGCTCCCTCTCTGCCTGGAAAATCCCTCCCTCCACCATCCACCGGGGAATGCCGTCCCCACCACTGCAGCCCACTGTTTTTTTTGTGATTTCCATGGATGAATGGATTGAACCGAATCAAATTACTCCTCAGAGCAAAGTATAAAGGGCAGAAAAATCTGGCCAAGGGTTTTCATGCTCCGTCCCTGTAGCACGTGCTCTTTTCAAAGGCCATTTCCTGTGTGTACCTAAGCCTGCTAAGGCCTGACCCTGAGTTGGATGGTGGCTTGTGGTCTGCTCTGAGCACCTGCTCTGCACCAGGGCAGAGCTGTGAACAAGGCATGGTGGGAGGCTCCTACATAGTGGGGCATATGCATTTTAGGGGAGTCAAGCCATAAACAAGAACAGAAGATGTTACCTTCAGATAGTGGCGGGTGTTGCTAGGAAAATAGAGTAGTCAGACATTGAGGAAAGGGGGTGAGGATACTTCGAAACCATCTGGTCAGCGAGACAATGACTCTTCAAGGTGATAGTTGAGGTGAACCAAGACCTAGGCAAGAGAGCCATCCAGTGGTGAACAGGAGTCCAACTAACACCTCAGATCCCCAAAGAATCCATCAGGGGAGGGGCATGAATAAGTGCCCTGTGAGCCCCAGTGAGGCCCCCTACATGATGTCTACAATTCATGGGGTCAGGTCACCCCACGGCCACCCTGAGGACACGGACCAGGGGAGGGCTGAGGGGGCCAGAGACTGCAGAACCCCAAGGCCAAGGGAGACATTGTGGGGCTCATGGTTCTGCTCCCCCAGTGGAAGGGGGAGGGGCTTGCTCACCAACCTCCATCTCAGCTTGGATATCATCTCCTTGACCTCTCTGGGTAAACTTGCCCAAAGTTACCTCTTCTGCACACAAATGGTGCAGTGTGGGAGGGAGGGGAGCTCCATCTCCAGGTCAGACCCACCTTCACACCCTGCCCCCTCCAACCTCCAGCTCCAACTCCAGAAGGGCTGAGTGACCATTTCACTTACTTCCAATGACTTCAGAGACACTTACTTCACTGACCAGCTGGGCTGGGACTCCTCTCCTTCACCAAGCATCTAGTGGGTGCCTACTGCATGTTCGGGCCTGGGCCAGACATGGAGATTCAATGATGAGGCTCAGGGATGAAGTACCCTGAATTCAGGTAAGAGGAAATTGAAGTCCAGAGAGGGCAGTGAGATGCCCAGGCAGCACAGCAAGTGGACATGAAAGCAGGGGCTCCCTCCTTGGCCCCCCACCAGAGACTGCTTCCCCTCTCAGTAGTGCCAGGGGCTGAAAACAATTTGCAGGGCCTGGAGGGCATGGGGCAGACAGCCTGTTTGCTTGGCGATGGATATGTTTGGACTGCCTTCCCCGGCCAGGTTCACTTAACCCTTCTCACCAGGACTTTAGACTGACGTCCACATTAATATTCCCTTTTGGGGTCTGGGGGCCCAGAAGTTGTGTGGGCCCAAAAGACGGAAGAGGCCACGTAGAAGTGCCACGCCCCTGGGTCTGGATGGCTGATTTTCCGCATGTAGAGAAGCAAATGACACACACACACACACACACACACACAAGCCAGGGAGGTGCGGCCTCCGCAAACACCAGGTACCTCTCAGTGCCAAGCGTATCCTAGCACTGGGGCGCCCGCGCCACCAGAGTTAAGGCGCAGGCGTGTCCCCTTGGGGTGGGGTGGGGCCCCAGCCGGGTGCAGGAGCTGCTCTAGCATCCCCTCCGGATTTGCTATTTGGGCGAAATACCGAGCTCCTCTCGTCTCTCCGCCGGCGGCGCCCGGTCGCCCCTTCCTCCCCTCGCCGGCAGCGGGGCGCGCGGGGGGCGTCCCCGAGGCGGGGGGCGGGGGCACAAGGTCGCCGCCCGGCGGGGAGCTCATCCGGCGGCGCAGACGCCCAGCGGCTCCGGGGAGGGATTTGGCCTGGGCTCTGGCCCTCGGCTCATCTGGGGAGGAGCCTGGAGGCTGCAGCTGGCGGCGGCCGGCCCCGGGCAATCGGAGGTCCTACGTACCGCTGCCTGGCCGAAGAGCCCCCCTAGACATCGCCCGCGCGCGCTCCCCGTGCTGCAGGAGCCCGCTCGCCGCGCCCGAGCCCTCCGGCCTTCGTCTCTCGGGTCTCTCCGTCTTCTCTCGGCCACCGAGGGAAGAAGGCGCCCTCTCCTTAGCGGGCCCGGAGCTGCAGAAGCAACGCGGGGCGCGGCCGAGGGGAGGAGAAAGGAGAGGGAGCGGAGTCGGCTCGGGCCTGGCCGTGACTCGCGGGGCTGCGTCTCCGCCAATCTGCGGGCGCTGACGCGGGGGGCGGCTCCGCGGCTCTCCGATATCTGCCGGCCCGGGCGCGGGGCGC